ATCAATGGCACAAACATGTTTACATGCACTTCTACTTGTTTTAAAACCATAAACCACCTATAGGGTGCATCACTGCAACATACATGTACATGCTAATGGCTTCACTCCCCAAGTATGACTGCTTAAAATGTTATGGGATTTTTTTTTTTAGCATTTGCTTACTATCAAAATGTTGCAGTGTATTATTGGAGTTTTTTTAGAGTATTACAGTAAACTGTAAAGTTACAGAAATATCAAAAAAAACCTATTGCATAACTTTGTTGATGATAAAGAGCAAAATCTGATGCAATGAAGTACAGTCACAATTATTTTACCTTACATGTACATGAATGTAGGATTTCGTAAATTCAGCCTCTAGACTTCATTATCCCTATGTATAGTAATGCAGCATTATCTATAAGTAGAGTTTTCAAAAATGATTCTTACTCTACATCATTTCAGATACTGACTCCTAAATAACAGCTATATTTTTACATTTCTATTTGCATATATTTGAGGAAGTGACTTCTACAGACAATGCTTTGGTGAGAATTTACATCAGTAAAGAGGTTGTAAGGATAAGGATAATCACCTTTATTGGCCAAGTACAGTGCCTTGCGAAAGTATTCGGCCCCCTTGAACTTTGCGACCTTTTGCCACATTTCAGGCTTCAAACATAAAGATATAAAACTGTAATTTTTTGTGAAGAATCAACAACAAGTGGGACACAATCATGAAGTGGAACGAAATTTATTGGATATTTCAAACTTTTTTACACAGCTCATCACCCTGAACACACCATCCCCACTGTCAAACATGGTGGTGGCAGCATCATGGTTTGGGCCTGCTTTTCTTCAGAAATGGCTTTCTTCTTGCCACTCTTCCATAAAGGCCAGATTTGTGCAGTATACGACTGATTGTTGTCCTATGGACAGCGTCTCCCACCTCAGCTGTAGATCTCTGCAGTTCATCCAGAGTGATCATGGGCCTCTTGGCTGCATCTCTGATCAGTCTTCTCCTTGTATGAGCTGAAAGTTTAGAGGGACGGCCAGGTCTTGGTAGATTTGCAGTGGTCTGATACTTCTTCCATTTCAATATTATCGCTTGCACAGTGCTCCTTGGGATGTTTAAAGCTTGGGAAATCATTTTGTATCCCAATCTGGCTTTAAACTTCTCCACAACAGTATCTTGGACCTGCCTGGTGTGTTCCTTGTTCTTCATGATCTTCTCTGCGCTTTAAATGGACCTCTGAGACTATCACAGTGCAGGTGCATTTATACGGAGATTTGATTACACACAGGTGGATTCTATTTATCATCATTAGTCATTTAGGTCAACATTGGATCATTCAGAGATCCTCACTGAACTTCTGGAGAGAGTTTGCTGCACTGAAAGTAAAGGGGCTGAATAATTTTGCACGCCCAATTTTTCAGTTTTTTATTTGTTAAAAAAGTTTGAAATATCCAATAAATTTCGTTCCACTTCATGATTGTGTCCCACTTGTTGTTGATTCTTCACAAAAAATTACAGTTTTATATCTTTATGTTTGAAGCCTGAAATGTGGCAAAAGGTCGCAAAGTTCAAGGGGGCCGAATACTTCCGCAAGGCACTGTATGTTACACACAAGGAATTTGTGTCCGGTAGAGAACCGATGGCAGCCATCTGCAATGCCACCTTCCTCCGATGGCTCTAACCATCGGGGGGAGGGGGTGCAGTGTCTTGCCCAAGGGCACTTCAACATGTAGACTGCCAGCACCGAGATTCAAACCTTCAACCTTTTGGTTGGGAGACAACTGCTCTACCCACCGCACCACTTTGTCCAGAAGATGTTTGGTTCTTTTTAGTGTGACAGCTTAAGAGTATGCTAGTGGACACAAGTGTGATGAAGGATGCTGAGAAGGAGGCTTTAAGTGCCTTGTTAGCAGGCATGTCAGGAGAGGTAGAGTGGAAAAGACATATGGGAATCTTTGGAAATGTTCCAGTTCGGTTGGATGTGAACTGGGGAGCCACATTTGAGTTCAAAACCAGTTCTTATTTCAATACAACTGCTGCTGCTAATATTGTATGATGAAATGTTAACAGTAATGATAATTTAATGTTCTCATAATTGCAGAAAGCTGCCAGTATGATTCAAGTACAGCTGACTAAAACAAAATAAAATTCTAGGGTAAACTCTTCCTGGCAGCTGTGCATTATCTGATTACCTGATTTTAAAGAGACTTCTGAATTCAGAGACACTGAGAAGATCAGATCAGATGAACCTTTATTAGTCATAGACCAGAGAATTGACAGGGCTAGAGCAGCAAAGGGAAAGAAACAAGGCACTCAGTGATAAAAGTAGAAAAAGTAACTAACAAGATATTATCAATACAAACAATATAAAATATAATACAAGTAATATTTAGAGTACATATTGCACGTCCACTTGGAGCAATGTTGGCTGTGCAGCAAGACACCAGCAGGAAGGACCTGCCACAACGCTGCATCATGCACTTGGGGTGAAGCAGTCTGTCACAGATGGAACTGAATGGGGTAGGGTCCTTGTGTGTGTCAAAGAAGGTCCTCAGGAGAGCTTGCTTTGGCCTTTCTTGCAAAGTGCCTCATTGTTGTTTGAACAGTCCAGTTTATTGTTGAGGTTAACACCCAGGTACTTAGAAAAGTGCACTGTCTCAATGTCCATTCCCTGGGTGCTCACTGGTGTCAGAGAGAGGTGTCCGCTCCTGTGGTAATCCACCACCAGCTCTTTGGTCTTCCCCACACTGATCAGGAGGCAGTTCTCAGACACCAGTCCAGAGTCCTAGATCAGTTGTTTGTCCTACCTGTCATGCTCGTCTGTGACGATCATGGAGCCATCAGAGAACTTTTGCAGGTGACAGTTCAGTGAGCTGTACATGAAGTCTGCAGTGTACAGGGTGAAGTGGAATGGTGCCAAGACAGTTCCCTGTGAGGCCCCTGTGTTGCAGACTACCATGTCAGACACACAGTCCTGTGCTTTGACATAATGTGGTCACTTTGTGAAGTAGTCCAGAATCTAGCTTGATAAATAAAGGTCCATCCCTATGTGCTCCAGCTTGTCCCTGAGAACCCCTGGTTGAATGGTGTTGAAGGCACTGGTGAAATAAAAAAAAAAACATGATTCTCAGTGCTCCTAGACTTCTCCAGGTGAGACAGAGCTCTCTGTAGGCAGTAGATGACAGCATCATCCACCTTACCAGGCTGGTAGGCAAACTGTACATGGGCAAAAGATGAACTAGGTTGTGATGTGATCTCCTGAGAGAAGGGAGGGGTGATTCAAGTGAGGATGAGGAGCTGTAGTATGAGAATTATGAAGACATCTACTGGAGACATCGGAGCACCATCATTTCCATTCCAGATTTCAACTGGGAGGCAACAAAGGCAGTGACTCAAGGTTACATAGTCACCTTATCTGGTCTTTCCAACTGTGGGTATTGTTCATCCAGGGGTAAGTTTAAATGCACTACTGTAATTTGCTTACTGACATTTCTGCTTACTCTAATTGTTTGCTATTGTGGTACTTAGTGTACTTTTGTTTTATAAGTTACAGTTCAAATCTTATTTATATCTTCCATCCATTGTCAGTCATTTCAGTGGTGTTAAAACACACTGTGTACATTTGTTGTACATAAAAATAAAACAGTTATTTGATATTTTATTATTGCTTTGACATAGTGACACATAAAATCAATAGACTGTAGACTGTTCATAGACTGTATATGATCAATCGCATTGACCAAAAACTACAGATAAATAGTACTTCCACAGCTGGAAACATGCAAAAAGTTTTCTTTCCACCTTAAAAGTTTGAATAAAAAGATATTTAGTTCATAAAAACATTTGCATTACATACTTCTGCATCCCTGGTTTGCCGTAAAATCTCAAGCAGCTCGGTTGTGCTGAGGAGGAGGCCTACACAAGTGGGAGCTAGCTCTTGTACAACCAGGCTGGAAAGACATTTCAGCCAATGACCATGTCATTACTGAACATCGCCAGCTACAGAAAACCATCCCCTGATGCTGTGGAGCACCATCAACTGGCAGACACGCTGAATGTGTTTTACTGCAGGTTTGAATAGCAACATTTCAAACCCCTCACTCAACTTCAGACACCCTGTCAGCAGCTGCTCCACCTACAACCTCCTCTTTGTGGACTTTATTCTCCCAAACATCCTCCGCTCCAAACTTAACCTGCTCACAGTGTCTGCCCTCACCTGTCAGTGGATCACTAGCTTTCTGACGGACAGGCATCAACAGACAAGCTTCTCTTACTGCACTCCTTCAAGGGAAAACACAGTAAGGGCAAACCAAACTGCAGTTTTCACTGATGCTGAACATTTGGCGCTGTGTGGGTTTGTTTTGTTTAAATTTAGAATATTTGTTTCTGTGCTGGGATGTGTGCTCTCCCCTCTACTCTCCTCTCTCCACACCAATCTCGCACAACTTTGTTGCCTATGAAAGCACATTGACAGCCACTGTACCAGAGTCGAATTCCCTGTGTGTTCAACATAATTGGGCAATATAGTTGAATCTGATTCTGATTTTTAAAACATTATTTTTGCATCCACTTGGAACTGCCAAAGAGCAAAGTGGCACAGAACATCTTTCAAGGAAAGCAGCTTAAAGGGCTCACACATAAACAGTAATTATGTGTCGGTTTGTACTGTATGATCTCAGATCACCTCATTCTCTATTCTGCTGACTCAGAGCTAATGGAGCTGCAGGGAATTAAGACTCACATTCCCCACTCCCATTGGGACACTGCTGCCCTAAGGCACAAGCATTCACATTTGATATCTGCAGCAAAGCAAAACCGCTCCACATCTCATATCTGACTTTTAAACTGCTTTGTTGAATTAGACACCATCTTTACAAGCTACTGTCACATCCTCAATAATGCTGTAAGTGAAATGTATAAATAGTTCTGACAACACACACATTAACCTCTTTTATTGCTATTATTCATATTCATACATCAAATAAACATGCATAGTGGTAATATTTATTTACACTAGGTTATGCAAACCAATGCCTATATTAACATGGCACTACAGTATATAATAAATACAGCAAGATGTCTAAGGAACAGTGAGAATGGTAGTCAGCGTCACCTTGAGGCATTATTTTACACATCCCACAACAGGAATAAAAAGGGTAGCAGCAATAGGCATTGTCTATTTTTCTGTTGCCCCAAGTTGCTGAGACATCTTTTCAGATATATCTTGGCATTGTTGCCCATAATGTTAAGTTTCATAACTTTATGTAGTATTCACACCTTCCTTGGGTTTTTCATAACCATCCAAAATGCTGTCCACTCAGAGCAAAATGATACTGGTGCAACCGTGGAGCCATGGGACATTTGATGTATTTGGGCCTTGTGTATGGACCAACTGTGTCACTGGGTGACAAAAACATTCTTTTTGCATCCACAATGATGGAGCTTTACTGGCTGCTCCAGTTCCTGGCTTCATATTGGCATTCATTTCTTGCACTATTCACTGAGATGATAAGTATCAAAACTCCAGCTGTGGTGCTATACTGTATAAAACATGAGTCTGTGTTTTATCACATTTACCTTTTCAGCAGGTCAGTGCACACCAACACTCACAGATCAAACACGGCTCAGTCAGATGCAAATGAACAGTGTCATCCTTTCAGAATAAAGTACACAAAATTGGAAATGAGAACAGAAGTCTGAACATCCTGTCCCCTGTCAAAGTTACACAATTAACAATTAACACGTCCGTTTACAGTAATAGCCTCAGCTGAGCATTTTGATGACTCTTTTCTACCATATTAAACCAAACAAAACCCACACTTTGTAATCATGCAGAAACAGAAACTAAAGCAAATTCTACTTTTCTATTGACATCAGGCAAAGAGAGCAGTCAAAAAGCTTGGTAGCTAAAGGCATATAAATAGATTAAAATATGAGAATCAATGCAGTTAATATAAGAACAGTTTAAAAGGCTATGATACTGACAATTTAACTTGCCACTATGTTCAATACACATTGACAAGTAGCCTTAAAACAGAACCTCTGAGACTTTCATTATTGTAAATTGGACCGTTAAATGCAGCCTCATTTAAATGAGTGAGAGCATGTCACAGCAATACTCAAAACAGAAATAAACAAGCATGCGGTTCAACTAAATCCTGTTTTCTATCTGAAATATGATGAGTCATGTTCTACTGTTCACTGATTGCATGCTATTTCAGAAGTCTCCTATGAATACCAAACATGATATTACCATTTGTAAATATACCCTCATAGTTGAGGAACTAAAGGGAAATCAAGTGGAACAATGAAATCAAATTGGTTCACTTCACTGGTGAATCACCTGAACTGAAACACTTGAGACTCACAAAACAGAAGATGACAACATCTTAAAAATTTGATGGGAGGAGTGGCATCTCTAACATCCAGAATATCTAGGTGTTTTTCCATTTGGATAATGCACAAATGATAACTTCCTGTTCAAATATTTCATTCTTATTCAAATCATTCTACAATGTCTAACACATTTTACAAACGCACAGTTTTCACAAAAGTGATTTTGTTCATTTTAGGTAAAGATTATCATACTGATTGGTGTACATATGGTTGATTCCTGACTAGTTTGTTTTTAATAAGCTATTTGATGACATAGAAAGGGGTGTTTTTTACATGATTTGACAGCTGTGATTGACTGTCTGATACTGCAAATCAGATTACCACCTCAGGTTGTTATATGGTTGCACGTGACACAAAAGCAGGATGGCCACCCCCATATTAACAATATTTTGGCTTCTCTTTTACATGGTAGTAGGAAGTGGTGACATGTCCATTTTTACATACAGTCTATGGTCCTAGTTTGTTAGTTAGCTAGCATAATGTAATCCTGTTAAACTAAAGAGAAGTTAGCTACTGTATTTATACATTGCATATTTGCAATGTTACCTAGTTGGCTGATTTAGAATCACCTTTGCATATTTACTGATTACAATTTGGTAATTTAATTATAAATCGTTTGGGGCTGCATGGGCTGTCTCCCTTCTAAAACAATAGATTTATGTGATAACAAATGCCATCACACTGTTTATGATAGTCAAACCTCCAGAATATACCTGAAGGGAGCCAAGGCCACTACATTTATAATGTCAAGGACAGAAAAACTAAATACAGGCAATGTTGGACAGCACGGCACTGTGAAACAAAAATAACTCATGGAAGGACACAGAAGAGACTGATTCCAACAGCAAAATGACCGTCATTGGAAGACTGGCTTTCCCTTTAAATGTTGTACCTGAAGACAGAAATGTAAAAAAAAGTTAGTAACAACAATCAGTCCATCAATAGAGAATAAAAGTGGACCAGGCATTTGCTTTCTCTCAACAATGCTAGCATGTTCTGCCATAAAGCCTTAAATTACAGCTCCATCTTGTGTTCCAGAAAGCAAACATCAGCATGGTGATAAATATACTATAGAGAAAAAATGCATACTGGCCTTTTTGCTTTATGTTCTCTTCCTCATCTCGAGATGTACCAGAATTAATTGCATCTTTCCAGTGCCAGGTAGGCCCACAACCAGATGCACAGTATAAAACTTAAAATAATGACTAATTCTGGTACATATTATTATTTTAAAATGGGGCTGTAATTAAAAGGCATTACACCCCTCCCCCCAAACAACTCTCAGTACAACTTTGCTCATGAAAATGTAGAATGTAGAAATTAAACACGCTCATCTGAGAACACACCTACGTAAATAATATTTACTGTCCATATATACAGTAAAATACACTCTTGTCTACATACTGTACACTGTCTGTCTCACACTGTCTGGGACACGTGCTGCACTCAATAAATGCTAAAAGTACAGATAATATGTCCAGTAGAGCAGGTTCACAATGACAAAAGACAGGGGGAAGGTGACCCTGGAATAGTTGTCTATGTGGTGTGGGTTCTCCACATGACAGCAGTTTATGGAGTGGAGCACTTTGCAAAGTGTGTCTAGAACAGTGAGGCACCAGTTGGTGGGTTCCGGAGGTGATGCCTCAGGCTTAGGCTTACTGCTCGAGGGGCTGGACTGGCTCACAGAGAGTTCTGTGGTGGCAGGAGCTGGGGAAGGAATTGCAGCAGTCTCCTTGCGTCTCTTGGCTCTATTGGAGTGACTGGAGATGGTGGTGACAATGCCGTTGATTTCATCATCAAAGTCATGAATTTGGTGAGCGTACTGTAATAGAGTAAGAAGTGAGAAGATAGAACGAGTTTCAAATTAAAACAAAACATGATGCATCTAAATCTGAAAGCTTGAAGCACTTGCTCAACTTACCCTGAAATGCTCATGATGATGAAGATAATGATGGTGATGACGATGATGACAGTGACCACCATCATGAAGACAATGACTATGACCATAACAGTAATGACAACAATACTGAACAACAAGACTGGTCAGGAGGCTCTCACCATGAGCATGTGTGAGTTGGTGTGTGAGAGGGTACAAAAGTGGGCCACAGCATATTCAATGAGCGCCCCAAAGATAAAGCTGAAGCAGATTCCCAAGTAAACATCAATGGCCTTGATGAAGCAGTTGGCATTAGGTAGTGACGTCCGGGCCCCCATCATCAGAGTGGTCATGGTCAGTACTGTGGTCACTCCTGGCACAGAAAACACATCAAAATACCGGTAAACTATAGATCCTCTGAGGAACCACTGAACCTGTGGACAACCACCCAAAGTATACTGTATAAAAGAATGCTTTTATACAAAATCAAAACAGTAAAGTGTACATAGTGCACAATATATTCTAGTGCAGTTACTGCAATTATATCAAAAGGGAATGAAGTGACTGCACAGCGCTGCAACTGGAGATATTCAACACTGTGGTGCACATCCTATGAATACAGTTTGCCTTCAGTACTGAATTTCTCTTAGAGACCTCAGTGTGCAGTTACAGTTGACTTAAGACACCATAAATTCCTAAATCCTGCATCTGAAGAGATGAGTGGCAGATACGTCTTGTCTTTCTTGTGTGACCACACCTGGAGCTTGCATGTATCCTTAGACAAATGTTCCCATTTGAAGAAATTCTTTATTTGCTTTCCTGCGAAGAATTAGATAAACAGACTAGACTCAAAACAGACAGACAGGTTTGCTGAAAAGTAAAAAAAAAAAAGAAGCCTACCCACACCTCAGCAAATGATCTGCTGTACCTTGTTTGGTCAACCTCACAATAATGACAGTACTCCATGTTTAAACTAGAATTACCCCCTCATGGTTGTATGCATCCCACAAGCAGTCAATGTCACAAGAATTTGGCCGATGTGAGGCAGGACACAAGGACCCTGACCTTTGATGACCAAAATCTAAGTACAAGTGGACAGTTGTCCCAAATTTGACAAAATTCCCACAAGGCATACCTGAGATATCACATCCCCAAATTGGGCTGGATGGACAACCTGAAAACATACTGGTAGGCCAAGCCGGCAGGTTCCCAGTTTCCACTCTTAATGTTTATCTAAGCTACTCAGCTGCCATCTCCATATTTATTGCCCAAACATGAGTGATATCAGTGTTCTTATAAAACTCTCGGCAACAAAGTGAATACAGGCATTTTCCAAAATGTCAACCCATTTCTTTCACTAAGTCAGACATGATCAATCTAAGTTGCACAGAGCACAAGAATCTTCTCCATTGATCTCACTAAAATAATCCCTTTAAAAATCCCTGTGCTATGTAGTAGGATATTTTGTTTTGAGCACTTAGTGTTCTCTACCCTGGAGGATTGGTGGATCTCATTCAACAGAAAGTCTGTATTTGGATGTTGCCACTATGTAACACCAGTGTGACAGATGCTATCTTCCCCCTCAGCTTTCTAAAATCAAACCCAAACCAATATTTGTGCTCACTGAAGGAGCAAATGTCTTATACCTGTGTAATAATAATAAACAAATATCAAAAACTGGAAAAAGAAAGAGAAAGATGTAAAATTCTCTATCTCATGACAACAGTGCCTACAATGACACACAATACCCAAGTAAGGTTTTGTGCAATGTGAAAGTATGTCATTTGCTCAGTAAGGCACATTTTCACATTTAAGTGAAAAAAAGAAATTCTTTTCCCCATACCTATACAAATACGTGCTGGAACAGATGATAAGGAAATCCAAAAGGAAACCCATGAAAGAACCACCAGCAGGCTTGAGGGGACGTAAGTCTCCAGGATGAAGTACAAAATGTTCCTTTTCAGCTCAAAGTGGAAGACCAGCTTGGGGTAACACCCTTTGGGAAGAAACACAGAGTCATTGTACTTTGTAAAAAAAACATGTGGTGTGAATAAGGGACTCTAATCGTTAAATATTTAACAACATCATACTGATATTAACACAGTATAACTCTAGGAGTAACAATATGCAGTGGTTTTGAATGTCATTGTTACCAGTTTCATAGATGGCTTCTGAGACAGATGTGTAGTGGCCTTCTACTGTGTACTGAGCCAGCTGGAGACTTTCTAAACCACTGACAGACTCATTTCCTCTGGTCCAGTAGAACATGACATCATTGATGTTGTAACCCCCTGTAGGTGACAAAAAGAAATGACAGGCTAGATTCACATTACAGGCCTCAATTCTCAATTGTGATTTTTTTTCCCGGGTCACATTCCTGCCTGTAACATGCATCCAACCTCATGTACACCACTAAACTGTCACACATGCACAGATTTAACTGAAACCTGAGTCACAAAAGTACAAAAACAACATTTAACTGACAGACAAATTGTGCAGTAACTGCTCAGTTACATGTTCCTTCCAGTTTGGCTTGACCAGAAGCCGCTCCATAAATGTCCAACAAATTTGAAACTTCCTCTTCTCTCCACTGACCCCTGTCGCTGCTGCTGCTTCAAATAAAGGCTAATGTTGCTCCCCATCTGATAGATGTGTGGCTATATAGGAAACTATTAGCAAACATGATCACCATAAAACTTTATAAGGTGATATGTCAGTGTAATACAGTAGATAAAACTAATGGCCCATTATATGTCTTATCCTGCAACCATTTGTGGTTCAACAGCTTGAGCAGTAATATCAGTCAGTTGTTAAATGACCAACACAACAAAATACACTCTACTCCAGGTGGAAATATCACCAGCACTTTACAAATTAACCTAAATTAAACTGCTTTAGTTTATAATTATGGTGCTGCTGATAATAATCATGACAATATAGAAGCAGTACTAAAAGTGGCAGTGTTGGGAGTAGCTGAGAATGTTAATGCGCTGCTAAAGTCTGATCCTGTCACAGTCCAGTTGTTTGGGATTGCACCCATATTGGGTGATAAATCACAGTACCTCTAATGCTAAATAGGTACAATGAACACATTGCAACACTAATTTTCATATCTGCAGTGAAAAGAACATGAATTTGAAATAATCCAATCTGACACTGGATGTAGACAGGGGAAGCAATATTAGCCCATTAATTACTGAAACTGAGTTTGATGGCATTTGTACAGTATATTCACAGCAAAAAAGAAGGTTCTTGCATCACACTAATCATTCATATCGCACTGAGCCCAGAACACAGTCAAAGAAGCCATAGCTACTGTATGAGTTTTTGATAAAGGGTCATAAATATATAAATGTGGTTCTTTTAATGATTTTGAGATTGCAATCCATGCTTTTATCACTTCCCATCTTGACTATTGCAATGCTCTATATTATGATGTTAACCAGTTCTCCCTCTCTCATGTTCAGATGGTTCAAAACGCTGCTGCTCGTCTTCTGACATGTACCTACCAGAAAATTTGAGCATATAACCCCAGTTCTGGCTTCTCTCCACTGGCTTCCAGTCTGTTTTACAATTGATTTTAAACTGTTGATGTTTGTTTTTAAGGCTCTTAATGGTTTGGCACCATCTTACCTCACTGAATTAGTGCATTGGCACAAACCTACAAGGTCCCTCAGATCTTCAAGTCAGTTTCTTTTAGAGGTTCCTATGGCCGTGCTTTTACTGTTGCAGCCCCAAAATTGTGGAACAGTCTACCTTTTAATGTTAGGTCAGCTACTGACCTGACTACTTTTAAATCCTTGCTTAAAACATATTTATTTGCCTTGGCTTTTAATACACAGTAGGGCCTGATGCATGCCTTTTAATTTAATTTATTGAATGTGTGTCATCTGTGTGTCTGTGTTATTGTGCTGTTTTATTTTTGCACTGAACCTATTTATTTTATTTTAGTTATTTATTGTGATTTTATTCTGCCTATGTAAAGTACTTTGGTCAACTGCAAGTTGTTTTTAAAGTGCTATATAAATAAAATTGATTTGATTTGATTAACAAAGCCAAACATCTGTGGTGTATTTTCTTAATATATCTGCAGAGGAAGCAAGAGAATAAGAAAGAAAATGCTGTCGTCTTAAAACGGAATACACTTCTATAATCTAGAGATGCTCATTAATTTGCTGTCACATTCCCCATTTAAACCCATGTGGAGTCATGTATTGACCAGTATGAGGCATGATGCTGTGAGCAAAAGTCATAAATGGATAGGATATGCTATGCAAGAGTTGCATGAGGGTACATTTGCCTTGTAGCCCCTTGAAAACAAGCAGCCAGAGTTTAAACAAGACCATCAAAAGTTCATTTCAAGGAAATATCCCAAAAAGCTGTGACTAACTTCCTTTATTGCTGTCAGAACACACTAAATATTTTACCACAATCCTGATCTAAACGCCCCTCACCCTCCCACGATACCACACTCTTTAAGCCTTCCTCCTGTGCAGAGGATTCACTTTTAGTTCAGCATTAAAAAAAATAAATCCTTGAATATACATCTTCCTAAAGGAACAGAGACACAGAGCAAAATAAAGATAAGACTGAAGGAAAAGAGGAACAGAGAGTGACAAAGAGAAAACAGGAGAGACCAAGCAGCAGGATGAGAGAGATTGTGGAGAGGGGTGGAAAAGAGAAAGAAATGCCGCCAATATTTTGCCTTGAATTGTGCAAGCAACAGAGTAAGGATCCATTATCATTTTAGTTACCTAAGTTTAAACTCCAGATGTCTTTTTGTCTGCTAAGTGGGACTGGAGCTGCCATTAAATGTTTTATTTGGCACTGAGGTCCTGGTGGGCTTCTGGCAGGGATCAGGCTGAGCTCAGCCTGATTGACTGTCATTTCAAAGCACTGTGCAAAAGTAAGATGTAAAGCAACCATGGCAGATGAGTGAGGGAGCCAGAAAGGAAGGGGGCTTGTTTCTCACCCCATCCCTTGCACTGCCAAAGAATCCATCTCATCATCTAATTTCAATAATAATTTGCTTTTCCACTTGAAACCAATCACATTCGTCAAACCACTTCTCTTATTCCAGTAGAATGTGAGGAAATTCCAGCATTTTTATCAATAAACCATTTTAAAACCTACAGTAACTCTTTGTGAAACCACAACTTTTCGTTGACATTTTCTTTTCTTTCTATGGATTAAACAAACAAGACGAGGTATGAAATTAGTCATATTTCGAGGTGTTAATCTTTGGACATCTGTGTTTTGGAGTGAACCAGGGTAGCTGTTTACCATTGCTTTAAATCTTTATGCTAATGGCCACCTGCATCTAGCGTCATACTTAACAGATGCATGTACAGTACAAGTGACAATCATCTCATCCAGCTCTGGCCAAAAATGTAATTAGGCATATTTCCAAAAGTGCTGAACTATTCCTTTAAAGGATAGACATACGTATCTGAGACCAGGGGATGACAGAATCATGAGCATAACAGATGATCTGAGTGAAGAGCAGGAATCCACCCTCGCTCTGAAATCTGTTTCTGTTCCTACAAACCCAAGCCTGTGCACTCTCCCCTCTGTAGGTTGTCTGCTGTCTGACATACAGTATGCATGTCATCTAACACACACACCAGCAGGGAAGCAATTAGCCATTTAAGCCTTTTTTTTATCACATTCATTTGAAGTGTTTCTCATCCACCAACTCTCACATTTCTGATTGTGTCTATCAAGTGTGACGTGTCCTTACAGCTCTCTAGTTGAAGTGTGCACGTCTGCTTGTCCATGGGATACTTGGTCAGATCCATGTTACAGGCCACAGTGGTGGTAATCCTGAAAAACAAATATTAAAAGAATTTCATGAAAGAAGATACCTAAATTAAACTACCGTAATTTCCGGACTACTGAGCGCACCTGACTATAAGCCGCACCCACTAAATTTAAAAATAAAAAAAATTTGTACATATATAGGCCGCCTTGTCTATAAGCCGCAGGTGTCCACGTTGTAACATGAGATATTTACACAAAAAGATGTTACATAGAAGCCAAGCTTACGTGCAGCAGCTCTATTTCCTTCTTCGACAGCCAGATCGATCGCCTTTACCTTGAAAGCTGCATCATATGCATTTCTTCATGTGTTTTCCATGATGAGGGTGTGTGCATGAAGCCAAAATGACTGATCTGAAGAATTTAGTGTGAGTGCATTTGATTTAATTCGAACAGTTTCATTGGTCCACTGTGACCTGTTCGGTAATTTCATTGGTCTGATATGACGAGGCTAAATGTATTGGCGGCATGAAGCTCGTTAGCCCGTAAAAATCCATAAATTAGTCACATTATTGTTTAAGCCATGGGGTTCAAAGCGTGCGAAAAAAGTAGCGACTTATAGTCCAGAAATTATGTTTTGTACTAAATTCTATGGTGCATAGGTATTAATTTCAACAAACAAATTAGCCTTTTAACCTTTATTTTATTAGATGAATCCCACTGAGGTTAACACACTTTCTCAAGGGTGACCTGGCCAAGATGGCAGCAATAGAGGTTAGTGACTTATTCCTCTGCTCTTAGGTTGAAGATGTACAGATGGTAGATGGCTTAATTTTTAATATGAACTAATGCATGAAGAGAGCCCATTATTGACTTGAAACAGCATGATGTCAACCCTTAGAATTGCTATCATGCCAGTGTGGTCTAAAGTGCAACAAAATTCTAAGAATGATGCAAATTTACATTACATGCAGAGATATAGTGCTTTTTGTACATGAAATGAAGCACACCTATGACAGGTGCATGCATGGTTAAGTTGTGACTAGTTTCGAGAGCCATGTAAACCCTTTGTTGTACATTTACATACATTAAAATTAGTCTGCTCTGAAAGCCCACACAAATGTTGGACTGACTATTCTCTGGTGTGGCAGAATAACACGGTGAATCAGTAGCCATTTGTCAGAGGGCTAATGTTAAATATTCATGTGAATTAATGAAAAAACTGTTACAATAATAGCTTTGGGACAACCACACATGAGAATAATTTAGTTACTCATTAACTCATACGTTTTCTGAATAATATCCCAAATTACAGTGAGGAACAGAAGTATTTGAACACCCTGCGATTTTGCAAGTACTCCCACTTAGAAATCATAGAGGGGTCTGAAATTCACATTGTAGGTACATTCCCACTCTGAGAGACAGAATTGAAAAAAAAAAATCTGGAAATCACATTGTATGATTTTTAAAGAATTTATTTGTTTTGCACTGCTGAACATAAGTATTTGAACACCTGAGAAACAGCAAGAATTCTGGCTCTCAAAGACCTGTTACTGTGCCTTGAAAAAGCCCACCTCTACTCCAAGACCAAAGAGCTGTCAAAAGACACCAGAGACAAAATTGTGGACCTCCACAAGGCTGGAAAGGACTATGGGGCAATTGCCAAGCAGCTTGGTGAAAATAGATCAACTGTTGGAGCAATTGTTAGAAAATGGAAGAGGCTAAAGACGACTGTCAGTTTCCCTCGGACTGGGGCGCCATGCAAGATCTCACCTCGTGGGGTATCACTGATGACAAGAAAGGTGAGGAATCAGCCCAGAACTACAAGGGAGGAGCTGGTCAATGACATGAAGAGAGCTGGGACCACAGTTTCAAAGGTCACTGTCGGTAGAACACTACGCCGTCATGGTTTCAAATCATGCATTGCACAGAAGGTTCCCCTGCTCAAGTCATCACATGTCCAGGCCCGTCTGAAGTTTGCCAAAGACCATCTAGATGATCCAGAGGAGGCATGGGAGAAAGTCATGTGGTCAGATGAGACCAAAGTAGAACCTTTTGGTCTAAACGTCACTCGTCGTCTTTGGAGGAAAAAGAAGGATGAGTTGCATCCCAAGAACACCATCCCTACTGTGAAGCATGGGGGTGGTAACATCATGCTTTGGGGGTGCTTTTCTGCGAAGGGGACAGGACGTCTGCACTGTATTAAGGAGAGGATGAATGGGGCCATTTATTGTGAGATTTTGAGCAACAACCTCCTTCCCTCAGTCAGAGCATTGAAGATGGGTCGTGGCTGGGTCTTCCAACATGACAACGACCCGAAGCA